GAAAAATGAAATCGCCCCCTGGGGGGCATTATCGCCCACGTTAAGAACCACTGGATATGACAACTCTAGGTAGCTTACAAAATCATAATACAGTAATACAATAATAATAATATTTTTTTTAAAAGAGATTATGACTCACGGGGAGTACTAATGTGAAATTTTATAACTTCACTGTTATAAATAATACAATTTTCTAAATGGAACTTAATTTGTATAGTAACCAGCACTGCTTATTCGTGGACTTGCTAGAACCCCTTTGCTTTGCGTCTCCCATTAATTAGCGCTACATACTGTGAGTTCCTTAAGCGCAGATTTTTATTTTGTTTTATTAATTACATCTGTAATTCCCATTTTCTCCATTTAGCTGAAGGCCAACAGGGTACCTGATTCTCCTCCTCCCTGCTTTACATCGTCCCAAGAGTTTCATGCATGGCTCAATGAGGAACTGAATACGATTCCACCCTTGCCATTAGCTCTTACCACACCAGTTCAAAGCCAGGTGTCCCAGTCTGTATGCACTGATAGGCCAGTTTAGGTTTAGGGAAGAGTGCATTTACATGTAAACATTGTCAGTTTATGTGCAGGAAGGAGCGGTTGTCGGCCATGTATGAAAACAGTGGTTTCATATTGCTTGTTCAGAAATAATTACTTTGTCTTAGGGGCAATTGATGGGTTAAGCTGTGGAGCTTTGAGGGTTTTGCATGTTAATCCTTGTGTCAAACCTGTTCTAAAATATTTCCTTTGTCTTCTCAGGTGATAAAGCACTGCATGTAGGCGGGCATAGAGAAGTAGATGTAGTGGGGTGCTCCCGGCATAAAGCAGGGGCTGTCAGAGGAGGGAACCCACACATACCGCTAGCAAAGGAAACTGCTGGGGGAAAGAGATGGCGCTTTCTGTCCTTCCTTTGTAAGATCTCACTCATCTAGTTAGCAGTGTTGTTGTCGTTTTTGCTGACTAGTACATTTTATGGAGTTATTTTACATGGCTGCCTTACATAGGTCCGTGGCTACTTGCTACCAGAGACTGGGGTGGGCGCTGTGAACCTGATGCTTTGGCCATACGCTCCTGTGAGGAATTAAGAAGTTCTAATTAAAAAATATCTGCACTTTCCTACTTTTATAATAGATTCATATTCTGAATAAATTTGATTTAGATTCTCTCCAACCCCTGCACACCCCAGGGCCTTGGCTACTCCTTTTTCCTTCCTCCTTTTCCTGTGTCTTACTGTATATACATTAATGTTTATCTATGCATTTCTTTTGTTCTTTTTATACTAATATTTTTCAGTTAATTGCTATATACAGTTCTGCTCTGTAGAGTAGTAGTGTAGTGGCTTGGTAATATCCTGTGTGGTGCGGTGAACAGAGTGGCGGACTAGGATTCAGGAGACCTGGGTCCGAATATATCACTTATCTTGAAACTCCTATTAGGGTTAGTACACTATTATGTATTATGTGCCATTAAGTCAGATCAGACAATGTGTTTTGTGCTTTAAATTGGACATGGGAATAATTGGAAATGAGAGAGGCTAAAATCTAGTGCTGCTTTAAAGCATGCCAGGTCACTTCCTGCTAAAACTGGACTGTTTTCAGTAGGGAAGGCTGCACAAATACTCCTATTTTTATTTATTTATTTATTTTATTTATACCCCGCCTATCTGGTCATTGCGACCACTCCTACGCAAAAGTACACTGGCTGTTATTGGAACAAATCATTCTGAAGTCAAGGGATTTGCTTTTTTAAATAAATCTGACAGGAACATAGGAAACTGACTTGTACCTAGTCAAAGCATTGGTCCATCTAGCCCAGTATTGTCAATTCTGGCTGATGACAGCTCTCCAGGTATTCAAGCAGAATTTTTTCCTAGCCCTTCCTAGAGAACCCTAATTGATGTTTACACAATATGGATTATGAAGGACTTGACGTGTTAGTACAAGGGTGAGTGGTCAGTTATATGCTAACCTTTCTACTGTACTTGATTTGTAGTAGTTTGTATCCATCCTTTTCAGCCATTGGTCATTAGTGTCAGAACAGTTGAGAAAGGAAATAACTTTACACATCTCAGCAATTTTGAATTGGCAGTCATATAAGAAAGCCCTCTTTCACTTTTTTGATAGATAAGCTTGAGATCTGCAACCTTTATTACTAGATAGAGACACGGTGTTGAGACTCATGTCTGCGGGGAAGAGAGTTGTACATGAAGCTTTGGGCCTGGAAAATCAGTTCCTTTTATTGGCAAAAGGGAGAAAAATACCAGGCAAGCTGCTTCCCTTCTTCGCTTCCCCATGTCCAGGATGAAGTAAGCTCTGTCAGTCTCTAAGCTGCCCTCTTGCATATAAAGGAGGAATTGATTAGTTACAGGAAAAGAAATATCTTTGCCCCTGCAGACCTCGAAAACTTTGTTACAAAAAGCAAGACTAAGCAAGTGGGGGTTTCTGGGGGGTGGGGTGGGGGAGAGGGCAAGGTGACATAGTGGTTATAATTCATGCATACAGGGCATACCATTACTGTACAGTGTGCCTGTCTTACATGAAAATAATACACTTCAGAGTTCAGAGGAGAAGGCAAAATGTTCCCTTGGGAGAATGGGTGATAATATTGGCACCAACTCTGTTCAAACCTCTATCTATCCCAGCAGTCATGCCTACAAACACAAGGCACTACTCAGTGCCACAGAAGAGGTGATAGTAAGGCTAGGACTGTTTTAAAAATTGCACTGTGCCACAGCAGAGATGATAGATTTCGGTAACTGGATCCAAACTAAGAGTGTAACTGGGCAGCCAAAGTGGATTGGGCTCAGTCAGGCTAAATAGGGTGTCTCGAGGTCACATAAAGGTGCAGTATGTATGTGGATGCAAGGACTGAGTGATTTTGTGGAAGGAAACCACATTGTACCTCCAGCGACCCTGTTTAGTATATCCCTCCTTTTAAAGGGAAAGGAAAAAAAAGGGAAAATAGCAGCAGCAGCAGCAACAACAAACATCATTTTTGTATACTTCAGTCCCCTGAGGTGGGATGGGAAACAGGCTGAGTGGTGATGGTGGTATTTCTTTTCAACTGCAGAAAAACAGAAAGCGGGACAGGCAAGTGGCCATTGGGACCCGTGCAGCTGTGTCATGCCCCTCTCACTCCCAGTCTCTGCAGGGCCCTGCACTCTCTCCTAACCAGTGGAGGAGAAGGAGAGGGATTCTGAAGACCCTCCAGGTGGAAGGGGGTAGCAGTGCTGGCCAGATGGTTCCCCGCAGCCCTAACCTGCCATGTGCAGCTTCCTGACCTGCTGAATGTGACAGCAGGGGTGGGAGAGAAAGGAGATAACACTTCGGGTAGATAACATCTACCCGAATCACCTGCCATAGCCAGCAGGGACGGCTGAGGGGCCTGACGCCGAGAGAGGCTCGGAAGGCAAAAACTAGAAACCGGGCCGC